TCCATCGTGATGAACGGCTGTTACATGCCATCCTATCATTTTCGCTCCCTACTTCCTTTTCCAATTCCTAGTGCCCGTCTCGCCTCCCTTCCTTGCTTCCTCCTCCTCCTTCTCCTTCTCCGTCGTTCTTGCGGCGGCGACCACCGGACTTACCGATGCTTCTCCCTGCCGCCCTCCCTCCTCCCGTGATCACCCCATCTTTACCGACTTTCTCCCTTCCTCGCTGCGTTCCCTTCTTCCCCGCCCCCCCTCCTCTGCTATGCACTTCCTCCCTCCCTTCCTCCCTCGCACCGCCCCTCCTCCGCACCCCTCCTCCCGCATGAGCTTTTACTCCGCTCGCATGTTGTGTTCCTTCTCCGCACGCTTCGCGTCCAGTAGAGTAGATGCCTTTACGCCACTCCGAACGCATCCGGGCGCTGCACCGCAAATGCATGGTAATGCCATGGGGAAACGGACCCCCTCCCCTCCCAGCGTCCTCCTCAGTCTTGGCATCGCTCGGACGTGTGCATGTTTCCCTCGGCGAGGACCATCGAGGAGCATCCTTGATCACCGAGCCGAAAAAAACACGCACGAAACCGAAACATGTACGGGGAATGGACGTCCGAGCGATGGCCAGTAGTTGTCGCCCCACATCCGCCTTCCCTCCCACCCTCCCAGGCTCAGTTAGCGCATCGGACAGGATCGGATTGCGCATCGGAAGGGGCTGTATCGGCACAGAGCCGAAACCGAATCGGATCAGGTGCGCCAGGATGCACAAGAGCACCGTGCGAATGCCGGGCCGCATCGGATCGTCGGAAAGTCGGAGTCGGATCGGATCGGGCCGTCCTGAATCGATGTCGAATCGATCGTTCTGACTGGAACTGACTTTCCCCTCCTCCCCCCCCCCACCCACCTTGTCTTGGGCGCCCGAGTTATCCGGGGTAACTCGGGTCTGGGGTAACCCGGGTTTGGATTCCCGAGAAAGGAACCCGAGTTAGCCCTGACCCGAGTTACCCCTGATGATTCGGGGCCCTGGATAACTCGGGTCCGGGGTAACTCGGGTTTGGATTCCCGAAAAACGAACCCGAGTTATCCCTGACCCGAGGTACCCCTGATGATTCGGGGCTCTGATTGTCCCCCTTCGACATGCTCGCCCTCACCCGACGGCCTGCCCGCGGGCTTCTCTCGCGCAGGCGGGCCCTCAGCCTGAGAGCCGACCGCCGGGCCGGCAGCCTCTTCTCGCCCTCGCTGGGCCCGACCCCCGCCCCCTCCCGACTCCCCCCCCTCCGGACTCCATCAAGGGAGGAAAAACCACCCAGACCGGACAATTGGCGTTTACTAAACGGCCCTGGGAGTTTACTAAACGGCCCTGCTCTGTTTCATTCCTTCTTTGGGCGCGTTTACTAAACGGCTTCGCGTGTCGGGGTGGTTATTATCGGGGTGGATCTTCTGCCGTCAACTCCAGGCCCGGCTCCGTACGCAGCCAGTTTGGCTCAAGCTTCTGATGCTCGAGGCACAGGGCTCAGGCATGTGCACGGGTGCTCTGACACCGGTGCGTGGCCCCGTCGTCGAGCGAGGCTGGCGAACAAGGTCCTTTCTTATCTCATGGTGGCGCAGTGGTTTCCCCCCCCCCCCTCCCGGCGGGTCCGTGCCTCGGCAACGACGGCGCGGGCATGACAGGCTGAACGCTCCCCAGAGTCAGGGGATGTCGTTCGAGATGGAGTGGTCGCGCGGTGCCCAAAGCCAGGGCCAGCGCCGTGAGTCACGGCAGGAACCGTCGGAGACCCATCCCACCAGCTCCGTTTTCCGCTGGCGGGTTCTGCCCTTGACCGGCAAAAATGTTTCGAGTATTTGGTGTCCGACGTCTGTCGCCATGGGGGAAGCGGGTCTTGAGGGAAACGGGTCATCAGGTTTTGCTCCGTTTTGGGGCTCTCGAGACCCGCCACGGGCCCCAGGGCTGTGAGAAAACGACGCAAGATGAAAAGCTCGTCCTGGGCGAAGGCCCGGGGGTCCAGTACCCGTTCCCCGCAGGACCCGTTTACCCCATGCTTACCAATGTCGCCCTCCATGCCGGATGTCCTCCCGACAAAGTGGCGGTGCGACGCATGGGGGGGGCCTGCTCTCCACCTCCTGGTGCGCGCCAGCGTCCACCTCGGGGGAAGCTCCTGCTCCACTGACGGCGCCAAGCTCGTGATCTGCGTCTGGACCAGCGGCCAACATCGGTGCGTCCCTTGCTGGCCAAGCATCGCAACTTTGCAGCCCCACGGCCACAGAGTTAAACCAGGCTGTCGTCGATGCCCTCTGCTCCCGGGGGGCGCCATTTTCGCCGCGACTTGGGCGTTGCGTAATGGGGGGGTCATAAATGGGGGGTTGGTGAGGGTGGTCCGAAAAGGTACCCAAACGGTACCTAAACGAGCCCCCTGGGGGTCCAGAGGGGCCCGAAAGGGGCACGAAAGGGGACCGTTTCTGACCCCCCCATTGATGACCCCCCCATCAAGCCACGCCCAAGCGACACCTGCCTCGCGGGCGTGAGCTTTTTTCTGCGCCGGGGTGCGCAGTGCATGGGCGGGGGGAGGCCCCATCATCGGGCGCCCCTTTTCCAAGCTCCCATTCAGGTGGACCGGACCTGGCCCGCGTTCGGGGTCTTGCAGGACTCTGGAGGTCGGAAAGGGGTGTGGCATAAAGGGGTATGGTGCCAATCGTGGGAATAGCGATGCTATCTGCGATGCATAACATCACAAGAGTCCCCTCTACCTAGAATTAACACTACACCCCTTTATATCATACCCCTTTCCTACCTCCAGAAGGACGACTGGGGCGCCGAGTTCCACCGGCACAGAATGCTGCTGCGCACCCTCTAGCGCATACCCGCGCCTCCTACGTGCCACGCGAAGCGAAAACGCGCTCAGCGTATGCAGACGCCAACGCGAAGACAGCGACAACTGCTTCACAGCGGGAAGACACGCGCCTGGCCAGAGCCGTCGAGCACAAAGCCTTCAGCGGTTCCCGCATCCTGGCGGCGGGGCTCACCTTGTCACTTACACTGGCCACTCCTACGGTGACGTCGCGGCGGCGGCACACCAGCAGGACCAGCAGGCAACGCAACTGACCTGGCAACAGCAGATACAGCAACGCAGACAAGCCTGGCTGCACAACTCTGCTGTGGGAAACCTTCCGCCACCACGCGGGCGGCGCGCTGCCGCCGCCGCCTCCTCCATGGCTGCCGCTGAACACCAGCATAACACCGCCACCACCACTGGCGACCGATGCTGCTGACGCCCCGGTGCCCAAACCCCGCCAGGGGAAGCTTCTCTCGACAACGACTTCTTCATGGAAGACACGTCTGAAGACGACCTTGCGTGGTCGATCCACGTGGGAGACCACGCCCACATTGACCAAACGCCGCACGGCACCAGAAAGACCCAAAGCAAAACGTCGATGTGCACTCGGCTCATTTTCGTGTTGGTCATAGCCATCGCCGCGTGCGCAGGCACGGTGGAGACCGACGTGGCCGCGACTTGCCACGGCAGCACGGCGTCGTCGACCACGACGGAGCAAGATCGCGCCCCAAAGCAGGACCCCGCCCCCGCCACAACGGCTCTCGTGGCCTTCGACTTCTTTCTCGGAGTCACCACCTGGGCAGGCACTCTCAGAGGCCTCCCCTTTCTCAATTACGCACGTGAAGCTGCGGCATCGGAGGGGGGGTGGGAAGCGCGCGGCAACGACCGCTTCCCCCAGCGGCCACCAGGCCAGGGCGGGGATCGCGGCGACCTCGCCTCCGCGGCCCATGCGGGAGCCAAGACCAGCATCCCGTGGCTATGCCGTCTAGCCATAATTAGCGATGTCATGCGCTGGAGCTGGAAACGTCCCCCCCGAGCACGTTCGCCCATCGCGCTGCGGTCACGACCGCGGGGCCCAAGCCCGGCACCATCAGACAGGCCAAAATCAATAGAGTTGGCGCGGCTCCGCAGCCCAGCCAGAGGCGCGACCGCGATCGGCGCCCACGCGCGGTTCATCCTGCACAAGCTCACCCGCGCCGCGAGGTATGTCCAAATCTGCGGCGGACAAATTGTGAGTTCGTTGCGTTGATACGCCACGCACCACTGGCGCGTCATGCCCCTCTGCTCGGGGGTCGCCATTCTCCGCGGAACGGGCTGCAGTACCAGCGCCCCCACAGGCCAGCGGTGCCTGGGACGCGGTTCGATGGGAGCCCGGGCGCGACGATGCCGCGACAGGATGCCATTTGTCGACGCGCTCACCGGAGCCGGCGACCCGTCAGCCGATCTTCAGACGCCGCTCGTCCCGATGCGATCGGGGCACGGGTCAGGCTCAGGCCACGGAGGCGCGCGGCGCGTTCAAACGCATTGCGCGCCAGGGGCGGCGGCGGTCGACCACGCAGCCGCAGTCGCAGCTACAGCCCGCGCTACGACCGCAGGAGCGCCAGCCCCGTCGGCTGCGACCGTGGAGCCGGTTTCCACGCCGCCACCCACCGCTGCAGCGCCGCGCGAAATGCTCGACCCGTCGCAGCTGCTACCCATCTTGGGCCCCCCACCTATACGCCTGACATAATGGCCAGGGCCCCTCGCCAGGCTGCCTGCTCGACGCGGTACTCGGGAGAGATTGGGTCAGAGACACCACGGCGACAAGGCAAGAGGCCGCCCACCGAGCGCTCGCGCGAAGCCCGAGGACCTCGCGACCCACGTCGTCGAGCTGCACGAAGGCTTGATTCAACAACAGGTCGATGGGATCTCGCGGGCGAGGGGGGGCACCGCGAGGTGAGGGTTCGGCGGGCTGTCACCAGACAGCTACACATCGGACGTCTCCCCGAAAGCACCTCTGGCTACACATTGTCGCTGTCTCTCTCTCTCTCTCTCTTTCTCCTCTGGCTTTTTATCTGTGTATATAAACAGAGATAGATCACCCTGCCCCCCCTCGTTTTCCTTGGCTCGACCTCTCTCTCTCTCTGCCTCTCTGTCTCTCTTCCCCCCTCGTCCGTAAACACGGCTCGCCTCGCCGTCGCAGTCGTCGTCGTCATCGTTTGTTGTCGTCGTCGTCCGTCGTCGTATTCCATGCCTCGAGTATCCGTCCTTCGACGTTCATCCCTCGCCACATGCCGCCCCGTTTCCGCCCTTCTCCGTGCGGCGCGCAGACTTTCCACGGCCAGCCCAAGTACTGCAGCCTGCAGAGGATGCAGGAGGTCGGCGCGATTGCCACCATTCCTCGGCCTTCTTCTCATCCTCCTCCAGCCCAGGGTAAGTTTCGATTCTATCGATCCAGTTCGGTATTGGTGCCAGCTGGCCCGGTCCGATTCGATTCCGATTTTCAGGCGGTCCGATGCGGCCCGATACTTGCCCTGCGTTATTGTGCATCCTGGCGCATCTGATACGATTCGAGTCCGACTTCGTGCAGATGCGGCCCGATCCGACGCACATTTCGATTCGATCCGGTTTTCTGACTCGGTGTAGACCGGCCTTGCCAGTCAGCAGAGGGCAGATTTACACCACCACCACCATGCTTGGCCAGGGCCATCCTTGGCCCCAGGATGGTGTAGGGGCCCTCCTTGCTGCTTCGGCTTGGAGGGCGTATACATCATGGCAGGGCCCATGATGGCCATGGCAAAGCATGGTGGTGTTGGACAGATGCAATCGGCAGATCCAGGGTTGGAGTAGGCCTCTCTCAACGCACGCGCCCGTGTCTTATTATGCTGCGGGGCCGCATCCTTGGCGGTCGTGTGACGGCAGGACTTTGTGGGCGTGTGGCGGTGGACGTCGCGCGAGAGCAAATCTTTCGCTTATGTAGTTATTGACGCTTCGCGTATCCCCACCGCTTCTAGCCCGGCGTTCGACCCGCTTCGCGCGCCCGCGTACCAAAACAAAAAAAGTATCCCCACCAGCCCATTCAGAAACGATCGCTAGGCGAGTTGCCTTGATCAGAGAAATGTGGAAGCATTCAGTGGAACAGACTGGTGTGCCAACCGCCAATCCGAAGCGCGGAGTCAGCCTAAGCATATCCAGCAGTGGAATTGCTGAGCTTGCCGTCGAAGAAGAAAGAGAAGATGCGGAAGAGAACATTGAGAAGGAGAAGGGGGAGGAGGGGGGAATGCAGAGGAAGGTGGAAGGAGTAGGAAGAAAGAGGAGGAGGATGGGTGAGAAAGGGGGCGACGACGACGACGACGACGACGTCGGCGGCAGGAGTCAATCACGAAGGCATTCGCTGATCTTTTGCCCTGAGAGTTTTCTGGAGCCATTTGTGGGGACATGTTGGGGGTTTCTGGGCCCGTGTGGAGCCATCCTAGAGGCAGCACATCGAAGAATAGGAGGTCCTGAATTATTGACGCTTGGAGTATCCCCACCAGTGCTCCTGGTCTTCCTTGGCCCCCCCAGCGGCTGTTTCCACGGCTGTGGGGAGACACCTGGTGTGTGTGTGTGTGTGTGTGTGTGTGTGTGTGTGTGTGTGTGTGTGTGTGTGTGTGTGTGTGTGTGTGTGTGTGTGTGTGTGTGTGTGTGTGTGTGTGTGTGTGTGTGTGTGTGTGTGTGTGTGTGTGGTGTTGGTGTGATGTGTGTGTGTGTG